CCATTTGTCTAAAAATTCAACTAATAAACACGATTTCACACCGAATGAATTACTCCTAGTTTTTCTAAGAGTTCAAGGAGAGTAATAAAAAGGTTATGAGGCTGTGAATTTTTTTTCCCCGTCCAGAGAATTGTCGTCAAACGTTTCATTGATTTTTTTTTTCAAGCGGAGATCTCAGACTGGACGACACATTCTGGAAATTTAACGGTCTAGGATTAGGTTTGGCGTTTTTATCTGGAAAGTCTAAAAACGAACGCCAATTATTAAAAATTATAGAGTTATAAATATTCCTTAACTGATAATTGGATTGACGTAGAAAATAAAAATAGGTTTTTCCATCGATTGAGCGTTGAAATTATAATTCGTGATTCGACAGAATGTGAGAACACAATACCATGAACAGATTCATACGCAATGCGTGAGGAAGAAAAGAGCAAACAGAAACGTAGAAAGCAAATAAATCACAGTGAGAAAAGTTTTCAAAACGTATTGGTAAATGCAAGTATTTTATTTCCGCATGAAATTATTCTACTCGACAAATCAATTGCTTCAATCAATTCCATTTCCGGTTAAAACCCACTTTCCTCTCTTCATTAAGATATTAATTTTTCCAGTTACTTTTTCAATTACAAACAGTAGAATATGAAGTGGAATGAAAAATACAATCGCATTCAAAATCCAATTACCTATATATCAACGTTCAGCGGCTACAATCTGTGCGCTCGAAAAATTTCAAACAAAAAAACAAATAACCACTTCATCACGACGAACAAAGGAAAAATTTGGACCGTGGAAATTGGTTTTGCCGGAAGATTTCATCGTTTATTGGACCTGAACGTCAGTACCGAGTGTTGTTTAATAGCTCGTTATGATTGACTGTGACATTCTAGCACTTGTAAATTACTCTCATGTTTACGAGAGTAATTTCTGTTGATGGAGTCAAGGTAATCGTCACGACCTCCTCACAAATTGGTTTAATGAATCACCATTGTAATTTGCAGTACCACATAACTTATCACGTAATCCAATTCGAGAATTTCATTTAGTGCCAAATATTCAGAGTATCTGGAGGATCAATTCACATGTGGTACCCCGAATAAATTCGTCGCAATGGATCATGTAAATATCACTACTGATTTTCATGTGCTCATCCAATTAAATCAACCTCATGCCGAACGAAGTGCACATCCAAAATTCACGGTTAAATTGCTGATGTTCATTTCACAATACTAATTTCATATTTACTGTGAAACTACATTCATCACAGGAAATTTCAATGATGCAACTTGACTATTTTACGTGATTCAGCCATTCGAAAGATAATTGGTAATATACGGTTGCGTACAGCTGTATTTTTAATATTAAATTAAATGAATGTGCCACATTTTCCTGACGATTAATAATAGCCGGTCATTGAGTGCGATTTTCACCAAAAAATTATGAAAGTTCAGATTCACATAAATTGAGGAAGGTATCAGCGTTGAGAATCGCGAATTTCAAGCTTTGCGGATGAGTAAGGAGATAGAAATTGAAAAAAAAAATGTACCCATTATTTTAAAAATATTATTTTTCATCCCCCACGTTTCTGTCCCAGTTTCCAGACAATCCTCAATCCCCCTGGCATGCTGCAATGGGAATCACCCTCAACAGTACCAGTGGATTGCACTCGAGTGCAATACAATGTATTTACGCACCCACACGCACAGAATGGTCAAACGTGTTCAAAATAGACAGTGGTAATTAAACCCCTGTGGATTCACTGGTATCCCGTTGAATAACCCGTGTGAAAAATCCCAAAAAAAATTTCAAAAGAGGAAAATAAAATAAACTGAAAAATATTGTCGGAATTCCAATGTTTAATTCCTCATCCGTCGAACCATTGCAAATCAAACTTTCTATTTTTAACACTAAAACCATAAAAATATCGTCCCATGACGTCTTCGGTGTCGCGATTTCTACGCATTAACCGTGGAATATCGTCAGGTTATGACTACCTGTTCGGCAAGCTTTAAATTTATCCATACCTCGTACGTCAAGTTATAGGTTTACTTCATAAATATTACAAGTTTACGACCGAGTTCTACTTAGTGAGTTTCAGTAGTTAATCCCAGCGCTTTGTTACTCGGCATCAAGAAATTGAATTTTGAAAATTCTCGTTTACTCATCTCCGATTTTTGATCCACCTTGCAATTATCGAAAGATCGGGTATTTCCCCTGTGTGAAATCGAAACCGTAAATTGATGATTAACTGTGTACACTCAATACGTTATCGTATGGATATCAGTGATCGTCAACATGTCAAGATAAGCGATAACGAAATTCATCAGGAAATTGGAACGGGAATATCTTTTTGAAATATCAAAGGGACAAACATGTGGGAAAATAGTAATGAAGAAAATAATTTTTATTGGCTCTATGAGGGCTTTTGCCTGACTGCCATTTAAAATATAAAATTTTAATCAATTGGACTGCATTAAAGCCACGAAAATCGCTTTAAAAAAGATAACGAGGTGCTTGAGGAAAATAATAACTCCTCCCATTGAAATTAACGCTTTTTAAAATCCCATTATGAGAAGAACTTTTCCCTCAGCATTCCTCGAGTATGAATTATTATATTAATGTTTAATTTGATCTGTCGCCCCAACAGAAAGCACGATCAATCCATCAACGACTCTGACCTCTAAAAATGGTCAATGGAAGGATTTTCATGAATAAAAATAACTGTCACGGTTATTTCTTACCATTAATTATTTCCAACATTTCCATTTATAGAATTACATTTGGAATGCAAGAAAAATCGAACATTAGCTGAACATTAACATTGAGAATACGGGCATTAGATTAACTTAATCGTAATGAATAAAATTTGCAATACCGGAAATTACCGTCTGACATGATATGAAAATTTAATTTGTCACTGAAACGATCACCCCTGCTCGTACGATTACATTACGTAAACATGAGAAGTTTGTCAGCTGTTGAAATCCTCTCGAAATTAAAAAAAAAACTTTCCCGCCAAAACAAAGAATGATGATAAAATCGTCCCAAAAAATCAATAATATTTTCTCATTTCGCAGAGTCCCAAAAAAATGGTGAAAATACGGAATTCGTTATTTCATCTGCAGAATTTTGCGCACTGTAGAGATTTTTTAAATATATTTTCAAATTATTTTCTAAGATCTTTTCCTAACCTCAAAGACTCAACCATCCAGCATCCCTGGATTTGACCCAACATATTCATTGAATTAATAACAGTAGCAAAGAGTACAAAGAACTCACAGTAATTCAGTCTGGAGATAATCTCGGCTAGATTATCCTCGTGATTCTGCTCATGTTGACAGCAAGCTAGCATCTCAATGGTTGATATAACGATAACGATAAAATACCGAGGACAAGTCGAGATGGACCACAATTTTTGTACTATTTTCACTTGACCCGTGGAGAAATAAATAAAAGAAAATGTTTGAATGACGTCTCGGACAAAAGCCCGGACTAGCTGTAGCGCTTTTTAACGTTCGAGATGAGCGATAATAGATCCAAAATTTTCCACTGACCACTGGACGGATTTAGAACACATCTTGAGGATGAAAATGATCTTCTCTTCATATCATCGTACAACTTGGGCTGTCAGGGTGAATTTGTTTCGCTCCCGGGGGTGTTTTCACACTCAACTCACGCACCACTCACGTCTCCTGGGAATTGACGAGGAATTGATATCGTGTCTGTTGACATTTCCAGGATTTATTTGGCCATCGGGTGATGTAATTTGAGGAATAAACAGGTGAATGCAACAGCCGCACGTGCGGCACGCGAGACTGTCGAGTAATGCATTTGCAATGTTGTATCCGGGGGTTTGAGCTGCATTGTTTTGGAAATGTGGGGCTTTAGGTGGTGGCGGTAGAGGAAACGTAAAGAACAGTTGATAAATCGTGCTGCGAGAACTATTTAGCCACTCGATTGAAAGCCAGTTTATCGACTGCTGGTGTTTGGAGTACATGTCCGGTGGTAAGAAAAAAGAATAGTATAAAAATTGAATAATTTTTCATCAATTATTTATGTACGAACCATTTTTACAAAGCATTCATTGTAAACATTAATAATACATGGGTATTGTTCTCTACGCCATCATCATACTCTAGTTGTTCAGTGTTTAATTTTTTAAATCGTCCGTTCGTTATTTACGCAGTATTTATAATGGGTTAATTATCAATCGATTCTCTCCAGTTCCTCTCGCGTATCTAAAAAATAATTCTGTTTACATACAACGTTATATGTATACATATATATATATCTAATATATATAATGAAAATTTAGAGTAATATTTATAACTATGTAACGCAATCGATCGGTGCATATGTACAGTATTATATACAAAATTGAATTCTTTTATTAAAAATAACATTCTTAATGTTTTTTTTTTCATTTAGCGTGGTTTTATTTTTTGCTAGATTCAATTTCCAATTTATGTGATAAAAATCTAGTGCTCCTCCCTTCTGATTATCCCCTTTCATTTGCCTCACGAACGATGTACGACTTCCGTTAAACTGCGGAAGCAGTAATCGTGGTTGAAATAGAAAAAAAAAACTCACGTAATGATTTCTAGCATTTTTTTTTCTATTTTTTTGTTCTTCTTCTTCTCTGCTTCAATACCGGTACGAGGGTAATCATTCATTAGTGCTTTGCGTGTCTAGATCAACTAGTTTACAACATTAAAAAAAAAATGGAAAATGAGATGAATTGAATTTTCGTCAGTCCATTAAACCGTTTTTTTTTTAAATGACTTTTTTTTTGTGAATGACGTGTGAATTGATGAGTAGCTACGAAATTTTGGGATAGGCTTAGAGAATCATTTTTTAATGTGAAATTTTATGATTTTTTTTTCTCACAACTGACTAGTTTTCGGGGTATTTTTGAAAATCCAAAATTACTCTTGGAAACATTCGGTTTGGAGAGAAAAATGTAAGGATTGTAACATTGATCCTTTTTTTTCTCATGAGTATTTTTACACAAACTTTTGCATTTCGCTATTCAATCGATTCCAAAAGAGGTCTATCATCATTTGGTATAATTTATAGGTGAAAATTAGAGTTAAAGGAAATAAAGAACACCTGAGAATTATTTTCCCCCTCAATTCGGAGATATTAAAACTACACATTTACCGAGATTATAAACCCTCAATTATTCAAAAAGCCATTAATTTAACTCGGCAGTTAAACCGGTGACTAAAGCCATTCATTTTTCAAAATGTCGTGAGTCTTACGCAGACGCAATGTTCATAAACATTATGTCATCAATCACTGTTTGAATTCATAATTTTTTCTTCTGTCTCTCCCTCGTTTCATGATTTTTTTCTTCTGAAGGCACTCTTTATTAAATTACAAAGCACAAGAAAATCACGTAGCTCAGTATGAGCAGAGTTCTAGGCACTCGTTGATTTTTGTTCTCGACAAAAAAAAAACATTGCGATCTCTGTAATCGTTTTAAAAATTTTGTACATTTTCTATTGCATTAATTCCAGGAGGTTTAGATATTTAAGGCACAGGATTTCTAGTTTCTTTTCTCCATGTTTTCGATTGTTTATCTCCATTTTCAGTGGCAGTCCAGCTGCTCGGTGGGTGACGTGCCCCATTTCTCAATAAAATCATCGATGAAAAATAGGAAACAAATTGGAGCAGATATTCGTCTGAACGAATTTATGAGTTAAATAGTTTTATCGCACATTCGTTTGGAATTAAATAATTTATGTATTTACATTTTTTATCTTCTTTTCTTTCTGCTCAAACCTCAACACCGAGGACTCTGTCCACTACGTACTCGTACCTCTTCGGCTCGCCATTTGTTTCCTTACTTTTTTCATCGGTTATCTCCCGAATTGGTTTAATCATGTCAGTGCCATTCGTTGTAACTTGAACACTTGTACTGGTTTTAGACATTTCTCTAGTGTCAATTCGCGCACTTATAATCGTTGAATTTATTGCTGATGTGTGGGTAATTGAACGAGAGATGTGGCCAGTGCAGGGCTCAGATGAGTGACGTTTGTGGTGAATTTGGATAAATTCTTGTTCGTCTGGAGGAAGAACTGGAACGTTGAGATTAACTCGAGTGAAAAATGCCATTTTTTCTCTGAAAAAAATTACCACAACGATAGAATTCATAAATTTCATCAATATATATTATTTATTCACCATAATTTAATTAATAACCATTTTATAAATAATCACAAAAATTCAAACTCACTTGAAAGATATAATATCAGGTTTTCCCTTCCCCGCTTTAGTCTTCCTCAATTTATAAATCTCCTTGGACGTCTTCTTCAGCATCTTCTCGACCTTTTTATCCTCTGCACTTTTCCCATTCTTTCCACTCTCAGCCTGAGCCATGAGTTTCTGAAACTTGTGATCCTCCAATAGCCATCCAGCAAGATCGGCGTCCCCTTTTTCCCTGGCGGACTCCAACCTCTGCTTAAGATCCCTCAGCCTGTTGAGCTCATCATGAAGATTATTCAGCCTGGCATGCTGTGCCTGAAGGTCAAGCTCCAGATCCAGTGATGTTCTAGCAGTCTGTGGTAAATGTGTTGACTTCTTGGAGACAGTTTTGCAACTTAGGGCTGACGAAGGTCTTCTCCAACGTAACGACCTCCTCTCCACGGAATTCCTTTGGAAAGGTCCACCACGCCGATAAAGAGGCATTGAACTGTCACTGTCACTTCTATTTAACCGACAGATATAATGATTTCTACTGACTGCAGCGCTCGGTGAGAATGTCTGACTTCTCTTAATGAAGATTGAATTTTTGTCGTCGTGAACTGCCCCAGGTACAATTCCAGCAGCTGACAATTTCCTCTGCTTTCCCTGCTCAGGTATAAAAATGCACTCCGTGTTGGTCTCCTTGTCCTGTGTCTTCGTGGACTCCTCTAGATCCTCTTCCTCCTCCTCCTCCTCGTGCTCTAGCACATCCTCCAGGACATTTTCCTCCATCATGAACTCCACGAGAATACCTTCCTCATCGCTGTCCTCACTGCCACTGTCACTGTCTCGTTCCTCATCCTCCTCTTCTGGACTCCCAAGGCAGTTCTCAAGCTCTTCCAGACGAAGTGAGACAACTGTTTGAAGCTCTTCACAGCCCTGATTGCGGGTCAGCGTGGAGGTCTGCGAGCTGATTATAGTGCTCTCATCGCTGCTCTCCTCTTTGGTGTTTTGGGACTGAGTGCTTCGGTAGACTGAGATATCTGATTCCTGTTTATCGTGACGATGCTTTGAGGAGGATGAAGGGGTTGCTGGAGCTGAGGGCTGCATGAACCGGAACGAGAGGATATTGTACCATTTCACCGATGGGGACTCGGGACTGAAATCTGCAAGTGAGACTTGGGCTGAACCCTGAAACAAAACATCAAATTCAAAACAATATTCTCCAACTCGAAGGAATATTCAATATTCATTCATCTAATTTTACAACAGGCAAAAATAATTTCATAAATTTATTCTTACCAAGCACTCCTCAGATTCCCCACTGGTGCACCAAACATTGACCTGTAATGTTTTCGTGTATAATTTATTGAGTGGAACAGAAATTGGAAAGCTCTCCCCGAACGTCGGTTTTCGCAAATCCGTCACAGCTTTAGTGCAGCACGTGTGATTGATCGGTGGTTGCATGGGCAGTAAAGCGGCCTTGATGTACCTATACACACAAAAAAAAAATACCTAATATGAGTGCAACGTGCCACCGAGGCCCTACATTCCATTAAATAATCATTAACACTAGAAAAGTTTGATAGAAGAAACAGGTGTGATTCCATGAGATTTAATATTAATCCTGTTGGGGGATATTCGTGGATGATAAATCCACTCTAAATCCATTGGCCTTTCTCCATTTCATATTTATGATCCCTTCCCCTTCTCATTATGGCGAGAGGAAGGGGTACCATAGAATGACCGAGGCAACGAAAATTCTTTGGAACGCGCCACTCGACCAACGGAATTGGCGATAATCGTTGCATAACGGCGTTTTAACGCAGGCACACGGTAGCCTGGTCATTGATCCAGAGGAGTTGCCTTGTGTGCCTCTCTCATTGGGTTTAAGGATATCCAAGTACATTCCTTAAGTTATTGCTTCCGAATGGAGGCATTGTAACTGAGAGATAAATTTATTCTTGCAAAATATCCATTTATCCGATAAAATCATTTATCACTAGGAAAAGGAATTTCCTCGAATTACTTGCAGACGATCATGATTAGATTGTAATTATAATTATCCATGAATTACTATTTTCCACGTGCTCTTCAAGAAATTTTTATAATGATTAGTGATTTATTCGGAATTTCTCAATATTATTTCTGCACGCTTGCCAGTCCAGGGGATTTCATAATTGCATTCCAATCTTTTGGGATGTGTCGTTGGAACGAGTGGGGAAAACTGAGTTTGCCGCGGTGTTTTCAGAGAAAATATTTTTGGAGTTTCGAAAATTTTCGTCTTTATGCCAAGAGGGAAGGGGATCGGTGGAGATGTGGCTGATGTCATGGGCTGGATCAGACGAATGCGTGGGTTTGAGAAATTTCGGAATTCGGTTGAAGAGAATTTCTCAGGGATGAATAGGATTTTATCGTTTGTCTAGAACTCGAATCGAGAGCCGGAAAATGATCGAATGTAAGATTATTATTAGAATAAACCTTATTCATGAGCAATGACTCAATATTCGCAATATTCGAAACGAAATTAATGAATGAGTAATCAATTTGAAAGCGGAAAATATTTTGAGAATTTTTATTGTTAGGGTGATTGCATAATCTGAGAATTTGTTGGAAGAAAAATTATCTCCGGAATTTTAGAAAAGGTCATGATATTTTTTATCCGAATCCACTTTCTTTCACGGGTATGTGTCCGTAGGATTATTCATAAATGAGTTTTCGACATATCATTCATTTCAATACGTTAGTACGGGAACTATTGCGGGGATTTTACGAGAATCTTTTCGTAGAAACAATTATGCAATAAGCTTGAATGCCCGACGGAAAGTCACAGGTTGAAAAATAACTGAAAATCTTATATTGATGAAAAAAATGGTCAAGTGACCGTGATGCAAGGTTTTTTTTTCAGTATAAGCGAGAACGTTGTCGCTATTTTAGATCTGGCGCCCTTCACCGATCCTCAGATTGCGGTGAATCAAGAAATGCCTTTTGAGCAAGACGAATAGGGGCCTCATTCACTTGCTCTCTGTTTTTTCTAATACCCCTTAAATAATCTAACATCTTACGAAATAGATTTCAAATAGAAAAATTCAACTCACACTCGAGAGTTGTCAGGTATGAAGAGGGCAGCCAGATTTCTCGCTCTTTCTATGCCGATATGGAGTAAGCCGTCACTCACGGAATACCTAAATAACAGAAATTAAGTAACCAGTTAGAAGAAATAGCATTTCCATCAGTTTCAATAACAATTAAGCAAGAGGGTAAGAAACCAGATGAGTCAATCACGAAATATTTTGCAGTCCCATGGAATTAGAAGAATTCCTGTTTGTAAAGACAATTCGAGAATTCTGATGCAATTCTTTTCAATGTTTACGAAATCTTTTTTAAATCGAGCATAACTCGAGTTCATTATTTTTTTTTTTTCATTATGATTCACGCACCATAATATTGTGTGTGGGACCATAATATTGATTGGCATGGGAAACCACAGGAAAAACTATGTCGGTACATGGGGTGTCTATATTACCAGCCTCCCGCGCGCCGATGTCCATTGAAAAATTCCCTTCAATGGGGAATCGAACTCTCAACTTTCAGAAAGTATAAATAAATAAATAAAAAATCAGGAGAGCATTTACCTCAGTTTAATTTGCACTTGAGCAGTCTCCAGATTCATCTCACCAAAGGAAGTAGCATCGACACTCTGCATACCAGACAATCTCCTCCTGTTGGAAGCCTCAAAAACCCCAGAGTCTCCTGCAACACTTTCATCCGAAACAGCCGCAGAAACGGATCTCGTATTAGTACCCGAGCTGCTAGCTCTCGATCTGCTTCCAATAGGCGGTGGAGTTTCGCTGATAGGTGACAAAGGAGGTTCCTGAGGAAGTGACAATGCTGGCCTTCCCAAACCACTCCCCTGAGACATATTTCCACTCTGCATCTCCAACGGTGGCTGAGGACTGAACTTGAGTTTCTCAGTGCTGGCAGTTATTTGTTCCTGAATGGCTTGCTGACTCAATCTCAATTCAGCGAGTTTGTCTTCAAGCTGACACCTGTCTAAATGTGAGGTTGCAGGACCGAGAAGTCTCTGCTGCTGTCGCCTCTGGAGTTCTACTTGTTCATAAGCAGGAGGTGGACCCATGGGTGCATTCTCATAGAGAGGAGACACAGGGGGACTGACGGACGAGAGGCTAGATCTGGGAGAGAGACTAGGTTGTGATCTCCCAGGGGATGGTGTCCCCATACTTCCCAAATTCTGCTCAGAGCCTCGAAGAAGCCTCTCGACTCTCCTGTGGAGGTCCACCATATCGACTGGCCTTTCCTGCTGAACAGGCCCCAAACACTGAGGGCCTCCATAGATGTCCGTAAAACTCAAACCTGAGCTCAAGCTTCCCTTGCTGCTCGTAGTGCTCAAACTACCAAGACTCGAACTGCTGCTTACCGATAATGTACTAGCGCTGAGTGTCTTCAACTGGCCCTCCAGCATCGCCATAGATCTCAAAGCATCTCGTAACTGCTGCAACAGCAGTTGCTTTTCCTCGTGCAATCTCACTCTGTCAGTTATCGTCTTATTTGATAGCTCCAGGGCATTATTCAAATCCTGCTCCAGTCTTCTGATCTCGCACTGGATCTTCTTCATGTCTTGGTGGGTTCTGGTTCTTGGTGTGATACTCCTGAGTTCTCGCAGCAATTGCTCTTTCTCTTGGAAAAGCAGAAGCTTGTCCTTATCACTCTCTGTCTGACCTGGTGTCACTTTCTCCTCGAGGTCAGCGAGCTGCTGTTGAATTGATTGAATTCTTTTTCTCGCCTCGTCGTATTGTAATCTCATTCTCGCCATTTCAGCTAGGCGTGTGCCTATCGGCACTAGCTCACCGGACAAATCCGTCTGGGAGGCTGTGCTGAGCTTCTCTTGGGGGAGACTCAGGGTGCTTGCGTCAGGACTTCCTTCGCACAATTGTAACCTTGTCAGCTCATCCTTCAGTTGGGCTAAGGATTGCATTAATTCCGCTTTCTCTTTCTCCCCGGAGGACAGAGATTTTTGGATATTTCGGAGTTCTGTCATTATGGCCTGGGCTTCCGTTATGTTGTAGCAGCCGCCGTGGTGGGCATTCAGTTTTTGTTCCACGCTGGAAAAGTCATGGGTGTTTAACCGATTCATTGGCTTTGCAAGGAATTCCCGAGAGAGAGATTCTCTGATTATTCATATTAATTCCAGTCCTTAAAGAGAGGATTAAGGCATAAGTGTAAGGACGAGCGCCGCGCTTGACCTGGAATTTATTTTAATTCATCTGAACGCGATCTATTTAATCTCTGGAAAGCTAGGAAAGGTTGAATATAATTGAAGTATTGTCAAATCATCGATTATTTTTCTCGCACCTCTAGTTGCACGGAATTCCCACGATTTGTTGAGATAATAGTTTAAAAACTAATTAAGGAGATGATTAATCCATGTTGCAGTAAATAAGTTCGGAAGATTGACTGATTATTCCGTAGATAATTCTGAGAGCCGCGGGTTGAGACAGAATTGTCGAAGGACATTCTTTTGTAGTCGATGAAGTTTCCCGCAAAAAGGATATGCTGATGAATTTTTTGTAACGCCATTCAATGCCGAGGTAATTGCACAATTAAGGGATGAGTAATGAGATAATTCGAAGAATTCCTTAGAGATAATTTCGAATATATCTTGGAAACACGCGTGTTGAGGGAAGAATGTCAAGATTTTCTACTAGCCCATGATATTTTCTGCGGAAAAGGCCTTTTGATGATTCCCTCAGCACCACTCATTACCGAGATGATTAAATAATCATCAAATGAGGAATGGGATCCGAGGAATTTCTTCACGGATTATTCCAGAAATTCCTCGGAAACTAGTGAGTTTAGACAGGTGGAAATAATCATTGCTGCCCATAAAGTTTATGAAAACACAGACGATTGGTGATTTTTTTTTAACATTTAGGATTTCAAAGATCAATCGTCTTCGTAATCCGCAATTAACAAATTTAATAGTGAGACGAGTCAAGAAATTCCTCTTTTTTTTGGCTATATGTCAATACCAATTAAGTACAATCTAAAATGTCAGAAGATCTCATTTGTGGGTGATGAAATTTCGTATAAAAAACGGTTTTGGTATTTCTCCTTTCAGCTCTCGTTTACGTAAAAAGCGATAAAGATAAATCAACTCAAACTCAGACTATTTTCGGTGTTTTTCACCTCAAGGTTGAAATAACCGACATGTTCAGGTGTTTATTCATTTTTTTCCACGTGAATCACCAAAAGCCACAAATATGAATGATTCTGGTTTTATGAATGATCATTGTTTCACAAAATAGACTGCAGATGAATCGCTTATTTTCCATTATTCACTGAACAGTGAGATATCTCGAAGAATTAATCACACATTTTTTCAAATGTATACTTGAAACCCATGAACCGATTGAACGCATGAAATCAGCGCACGTAATTTTTAAATAAAATTTTGCCTTCATCATAATTTAAAAAACAACCCGAGAGAAATAAGCGAACGTGACTCACGATGAGTGTACGATTGCTCGTAGATTCAAATGTAATAGAAAAGAGAAAAGGGATTAAAAAGGTATTTACCTCGCTAGGGTGTCGACTCCTCGTTGAGTGCAATTCATTTCAGCTCGGATTTGTTCGAGTTCCCTTTTGAGTCTCGATACTCGATCCCTCGCCAATGCCACATCAGACTTGAGGAGATCCGGGTCGTACTTAGTACTGAGTGAGCTAGAGCTCGAGCACACTGGAATTTTAATAAATAAATCCATTATTCGTCTCAAATCACTTATCAATTTGAATTGAGAGAATTTTAATGGATGAAATGGAATGCATATTGAAATCTTTGACGTTTGACAGGCACCCAATAATTAACACATTTGCTTTCGATAGATTTGTACCGTCGAGACACTCTTAATCTTTTCAGTGGATTGATCATGGAGATTAGTTACATCGCCGTGAAATGCCACTGTAACGAGGTCAAGTCAAATTTATCATTTTATTAATGAAGTTATTAGGGGGGCAACCACTTTAGAATGAGAAATTCCAAGGGATCATTCGTGTGAGTAGAATTAACCGGGGATGAGAAAGGTCTCTCAAAGTTTTTTGTTCAACAACTCAGATCATAGATAATTATATCATTAATGAAGTTCCCGCGTAGCACTCAATTTTGCTCTCTCAATAATTACATAAATATCTGGGAAATTGATAAATCCAAGGAGAGTAATTGAAAATCCCATATTAAGATAAATTATGAAGGAAAATATAAAATTTAATGAAATATCGAGCATTTCCTGTGAGTATCGCCTTATTTAATAATAATATCGATTAAGATACTCTGAATCGATGAATTGAATCAACAATTGAAAAATATCACTTACAACTTGTGCGGGAAGCTCCGAGGGTGGTGAGTGCATTATTGAGATGATCATATTCGTCCTGAGCTAGACACAGCCTCTGCTGTTTCACGTCATAAATCTCCTTCTTCGCCTGCAACAAATGAAAAAGACAATCCGTCAGTTCATTGTCCACCTCCAATCTCATCATCTTAAATCAGTGACACAAGATGTGGAAAATAAAAGCTCTTGACAATCTCTCAAATGGTATCGAGTAAAAAAAATAAATGATGCAGGATGATCCGGTGGAAGTCGACGGTGCGAAAGTCAGCTTATTGAACCGACGACTCATCCATGGCATAAATAGCACGTTGAAATCTTTCCCCCTCACCCAATTTATTATTATTATTTTTTTAAAATACAACCTCAAGCTGCTCAGTGATGCATGCATTGCAGAGGCGTCGAATTCCTTGGCGATAAAACGCCTTCGAATTCATGATGTCGCGTGTCCATCGCTCGGATTACCCAGAGGATTTATTCTCAAATCAATGTCATATTTAGATTTAAATCGACCGATTCAATTGAATTCTACATGTTCATTCTGGAGGATGATAAAAGTATTCACTTGTTGCTGATGCTTGATACATCGTGACATCTAGATTTATGCAATTTATGTTTATCACCAACAGATGGTACATGAAAACAGATTGGAAAGAGGGAGAATGAATTGATGAAATGTAACAAGATAATTTCCATCTGTTATCAATGAAAATATATCGGCAAAAAACAACCAATGGGTTATTCTTTGAAATTCATTATTGGGAATTATGTTTATTTCTGGTATCAGCGCGCAAACAATTATTAACACGAAGGATTTTTTTTTCTGTTTATTGACTTGGCATTATTTAATTATTTCACCGGAATAAATTTATCATAATTGAATATTCAACAAATACGAAGCAGATTGCTACACGTTTGCTATTAATCTCGTTATAAATAATAGATTGTATCGAGTTGATATTCAACACAGCGTGTGTGTTTTATAATGGGCCTTCTTGCATACCACGATGAAACGTTCATTAATGTATTCCAGTGTGATCTAGAAAGGAACGAGTTCGATATCAGTCCATGGGTGTCGGAGAAATAATATCGAGTGCTGTTTTGTAGTGGGTAAAAAAAAAAAATGTGTGGGTTGGGGAGGGGTTTTTCACTGCCTCGGTTTATTGGCAAATCACACGTGCCAAGAATTATTCAGATTATTTGGATCTCTTTCAAAATAGCTATAACTTTTGAATATTTAAATTCCTATTGAATTAGATCATTAAAGGAAAATAAATTGAAGAATGCAGTGACGGAAAGGTCAACTCATTAACATTCTTGGGGAAGAACGTGGGATACGAACGAGTGGATGGATAATCGAATAACGAGTAGAACTATTGAAACCACTTTATGATCGGTGATTTTCATTCTCGATGAAGCTGTCGTCAAATGCTTCAATTACATCATGAGGGGAAAAGTTTGTACTTCATTAATTCTCACTGATGATAAATAAATAATTACCCAACTTATTCAGTAATTGCCCGAGTGATTCATCAGCTACGAACTTCATCAGTGAATTATAATACCAATAAATAATTAAAATTCCATTTTGCTATCTTTCAATAATTTTAATGGAGTGTTCGAAATTCTTTTCCAAAATAGTGAAGGTCTTACTTTGATAATCGTTATTAAAAGAAAAAAAGATAAACTCCTAATCGATTTATAATTCATCGGTATAAATTGCTTTGTAAATATGGAGAGATAAACGTTCGAAGAAAACCAAAAAAAACTCGAATTTCGCAGGAAACGGAGCAGTCTGCAAAAAACCATCAAAAAACAAAAAGATTCTATCACTCATTTTCCTAAACCAGACTGTGAGAAATATTCCAGAATTAATCAGGCTAAAATCCCGACTTGATCTGTTCTTCACCACTCCCAATGAATTGAGAAATGAGAAATTCCAGGATCCAACACAACATCGAAGAAACGATCAATCACATCTTTCAGCGGCCCATCAACCCACGATCACCTTCAAATCCACAGACACAATAAAACCCACACATCCACGATTCACGAAACCCACAGGTATTCTGAAATTCGCATGAACGAATGCACGAATAATCACAGAAAACCTCCACTGGATTCCCAATGCTCACAAATAATCACCAATTCCCTGAAAAATTCAAACTACATCTACCTGAACTACATCTTACATATTCACAATAGTAGTACGCAGTAGCATCACTATCATCCCTCCTGTAGCACTGCTCCCAGTAGAACCTCTGGATCTGCTCATCATTCTCATAATCATTATGATAGCACATCCTCATCCGATACTGTGACACAATATTCTCGTAGATCTGCTCCTCCTGCTGATGCTTTTGCACAAGTCTCTGATGCTCCTGAGACTTCTGCTCCCTCTGATTTTCCCTCTGCCTCTGTCCCTCATACTGCTGATATTGCTGATACTGCTGATACTGCTGATACTGTTCCCTGTATTGATACAATTGATGATAATTCCTCAAGTACTGCTGCTGATTATGCTGACTCTGCTGAATCTGTTGCCTCTGATACTGGGAATACTGCGGTGGCTGATGATGATGATAATACCTCAACTGTCTCTTACTATCCCCATACACTTGATTACTATAACCATCAGCATAACTACGGTACTGCTGAGCTGGTACAAGTACACATAGTGTGTACTGACGGTCCATAACTCCCGTTAAATAAATAATTATTTTTCACATGAAGGAATTAGATAACGTACAAAACGCGGGATGAAAAATAACAGCTTGAGGCCGAGCACAAAAGGCCCGGAATCACCTCATCTTGACGAAGGCCTCCTCCAGACTGGCCGGTTACAGGCCCCGAAATTCCAATCCCCACCTCCAACTTGAGACTCAATTTTTAAGGGATCCCCCTTTTTTTCCTTTGCCGTGTTTCCCCCCTTTTAACCCACCCCCTCCCCACCTCACCTTTTTTTACTCTCCTTCGTACTATCTTTTTCTCCTCTTTCCCCGATTCTTTATCTGCTCTTTTTTTTTAACGTTTTAATAAATATATATATATACTGTGAGCTTGAGCTTGCCACGGACTCCCTGTTTGCTCCAACAGCAAAGACTCCTTCTCCTTTTGCCTTCTACTCCACCTCCTGTGCGACTCACCTTCTTCCCTCGTCCTTACCTTCGCCTCTGCTCTCTCCTCTCTCCTCATCTCTCCTCATCTCTCCTCACCTCTCCTCATCTCTCCTCTTGTCCCCTCTTTCCTCAACTGACCATCCAGCGTCCTTCTTCCACTCTTTCTCTTCAGCTGTTGCTTGTCCCTCTTCCACTCGGTACGGAGGTACCTCGGGGCCCTTGTACTTATCTCTCACTTCCACATTCTGGGCCTCAACGGAATGGCGAGAGGAAGAGTGAGATGAAGGGAGATGGGTCCAGGACCGTAACGACGCCAGTGTTACTCTGTCTTTATTCTGTCTTTATTCAAGATGCTGCGACTTTTTTTAGACCCCCCTCTGCCCCCCTCCAGATGAACGTGAATAATGCGCGAGCATAGGTTGAGGTTTGCAGGGATGCTCCTTCATGTTGGTTAACTCCCACGTATGAAGTAATTGCATTCCGCGTTTGAATTTTTTATTGTTTATATCGGGCTTGAACCCTAGTTTGGTCACCTCCGGGGCTTCGCGGATTCGCCGCTGGGTTATTTATGCTCCAACGTTGCCGAATTCACTCTATACTGTCCGCGTGTATTTATCGGGGCTTAGGCAACATCGCTGATTTCACTTAAGGATCTTTCTCTAGCATTCCACCATTTTTCTGATTTTTTTCTCGCGGATTTTTGGGACTGATGGACAGATTTATTTCAAACGATTTCGGCGTTTGACATTATTTGATGAATTGATGAAATTAATATTTTATTATCCCGCTGAAATTTTTTACGCTCACTTTAAACTTGAATTTCGGACTCGGGGAAATCCCCGAAAATCAATACTCGCCAATCGAGGGTCAGACCTAGGTCTCAGGGCGATTGATGAGTTGATGGGGTTTTTTTTTGAGCGAGGGAGTCCCTCTATTTTGTTACCTGGCAATGGGTCTGATGGGTTTGATGGGTCTGGTGGGTCTGGTGGGTGGGGAAGGTGGGGAGGTGCGTGTGTGCGTGGTATTGGGGGGAGGGAGCTGTAGGGCCTGACGAGGTCGTGGCTCGACCCTGCGACCAGTGGCCCCGGCATTTACTGAGAGTCGTTGTAGTAGAACCGACCTTGAAGTCGCACGGGGCCCCTCGCTCACACGTCCACGGATGGAATTCCTTCAACGCCCCCCAAATGAGAAATTGTTTTTTTCCCTCATTTTTAGCAGGACGGGGAATTTCTAATTTATCTAATCGAGAGTTGAATATCTAGGGACTTAATGATTCCAGTGAGGACAATGAGAAATTCCATATCTACAGCACAAAAATTAAACGGTATCACAAATTTCACCATCTCCCTCAGTTTCCAATATTTTCCTCTCAGAAAATATCAATAAATAATTCAACGCGAGTTCCGTAAAAAAAATATGTTCTTGAAAAAAGCAGTTATCTTCTCTTATAAGTCCACTCCAAATTCTCTCCTCTCAAAGAATGACTTCGCCAAGATTCCTCCGATAAACCAAAAGATTATTGGCAAAAAACGAGTGAATCTTTACCAACCTAGAATTGAAATACACTGAAATGCTTTTAACCATCAAAAAATTCGGCCAATGTGCTTGCGTACTCTGCCCCGAGATAAAAGCATCGGTTTTATCACCAACAAGTGGGTGATGAAGGAGACACTCAGTGAATGAGAATTAACAATTACCGAAAATAAACATTCCGATAAGAAGGAATTTTCGTTATCGCGTGTAATCGCTACTTGGTTTATTTTTTTCACTTATCAGGCATTTAATCGTGATTTGACCCAGGTCCCTCGTCCACTTCCCCAAGTCCTCCGAAAAGACACGGAAGAGACGGAATCCCGGGGACGATGGTACGGTGGACTCCCCGAGGCATCCCAGGAATGCCCATGGTTATCCATTTTTCTCTTTTTATCCTTTGTCCTCTCTCTCGACGGTGCGATATACATATATACCCGAGTTG